CATTTACCTGAGGTAGATACACTCCTTGGAGAGAACAAGTAAGAGAGAAAGAAGGGCTGCTCAGGCACAGGGAGACAGCTCAGGGGGTAGGAGTGCATGGAGAGATGGACACAGGGAAGAGGTAACTATCAGGGGGAAGTGAGAGGGGAGATGTTGCATTGTGCTAAACTGTGGTCAATGTCATGATACAAAGTGTATGTGAAGTTCTGTATGGAAAGTGTATTTGTGCTGTAAATTTTCACCCAAATCACAATAAAAAAAATAATAAAAGCATGTTCCTCTGCATTTTCTCTCTTTAATTGGAAGTCATGAGAGACGGGAGTCCCTAGGTGGTGTACATGGTTAACACACTTGGCTGTTCACCCAAAGGCTGGAGGCTTGAGTCCACCTAGAGGAGCCTTGCAAGAAAGGTCTGAAAATCTACTTCTGAAAACCAGCCATTGAAAAGCATATGGAGCCATCCTACTGACACTCAGGGGGGTTGCCATGAGGCAGAGGCAATTCAAGGTCAAGTGGCTTAGGAAGTGATGAGAGAGTTGAAAGGGTAGAGAAAGAGGGCCCATTTAAACAAGGCCCATGGACCTTTGGAGTGAATGAAGCTATTCGCATGTTGTTGGTCCCACAGTCACAGGAGTCAAGGGAAACTCAGCAGTCGTGAACCCTTCCACCCTTGTTTTACAGGTGAGGGGACTGCAGCTACAAGAGTTTCAGCGATTTGCCTGTGGTGAAGCTTTGGAGGCTGCAGGAGGAGACTGACCCCCAGAGTGGTCATCAAACCCCAGGTACATCAAACCAGCTACCTGTTGCTGTGGACTTGATTCTGTCTCACAGCAGTCCTGTAGGACAGAGTAAAACTGCCCTGTGGGGTTTCCAAGGCTGTAAATCTTTACAGAATATCACATCTTTCTTTCCCAGAGGAGCTGATGGGTTTGAACTGCTGACTTTCTGGTTAGCAGTGGAGCACTTAACCACTTAGCCACCAGGGCTCCTTCACCTCAAACAGGCCCTGCTATATTCAAGAACGAACTGACACTGCCATAACAGCTTCTAGAATCTTGTTTTCTCTAAAGATGCATAGACTGCTCGAACACCCAATCTTATCCCAGGAAGAAGCTTCAGGCAGAACAGGCAAGGGTAAGCTTCAAATGAGCTTCTGTGATATATTGATGCTCAAGGTAAGCTTCCATTGACTGGAAACTTCCAGCCTTAAACAGAGACCCTCTTGTTGGGAATCACTGGTAACTCTGTATCCAGAATGACGGGGATCCACTGGGCTGAGCAGAACAGACCATGATATGAGAGAGACCCTGAGAGATGTGTAGGAGGACAGGTGGGAGATGGACTGAGAGATCAAAGTTGTGATGAAAATGCTCACAGGGCAGCATGATGACAGCCTTGGGCTCTGACCCACAAACATCATAATCGTTGGACAGATTGTCCCATTACCTCCCTGGAGACCAAGTGGGGCAGAACCAGGACAGTAAGTTTTGACTAGAAGACATTTGGACCATGCGTGGGTGAACTGTGGGTTGAACTGTGTCTGCCAAAAAGATATGGTGAAGTCCTAAGCCCTGGTACCTGGGAATGTGACCTTGTCTGGAAAAAGGGTCTTTGCAGATGTCACCAGTTAACATGAGGTCATGTTATTATAGGGTGGGCCCTCATTCAACATGACTGGTGTCTTTATGAAAAATGGAGAAGAGAGACACAGAGACAACTGCAGGTGAAGATGAACACAAGGACTGGAGTCGTGCCACCACGAAACAAAGAACACCTGGGGCTACCAGACGCTATGAGAGACAAGGAAGTTTCTTCCCCTAGAGCCTTCAGAGAGAGAGCATGGCCATCCCTATAACCTGAGTTCAGACTTCTGGCCTCCAGGTCAGGTTTGTGGTACTTTTTTCAGCAGCCCTAGGAAACCAATACAATGGGCAAGCCCATGTTCAAATGCAAACCCAGGACTAGTCCCAGCAGAGTTTGTAACCCATAATGACCTTATCGAGGATGAGATTTTATCCATATGAGTTTATTTAAAACCACCACCAACAAAACTAGGCATTTCAATGGGCCAAAAAGTATCAGTGCCCTAGACGACAGCTTTCTAAGAATAAAAACACTATGCTGTGTATGGGTTTATTTGTTGGCAAAAGTTGAAAATAAAGCATCCTATTGATGCTTTATTCATTTTGCAGATCAATTATGTGCCCGAGCAATCAGGATTTCTATCAGGACCTATTGATGGAGAGCCGGGTGGTATTTCTTCAGTTCTAGCTGCACATACAAAACCATTCCATCATTTTGACTTCTTTGCCATTTTGATTAGTTAAAAGACCTGAGCCTTCTTTTGTGGATGGCATAAGGGAAGACATAACACCTTTTTCAAAATACATAAAGGGCTAGCGTGTAGAAGAATGCTTGTTGTTGTTATGTGCCATCGAGTTGGACCTGACTCATGGCGACACCTCCTTGGGTTTCCGAGACAGTATCACTAAGGAAGTAGATTGCCCAACCTTCCTTTCGAGGAGTTGCTGGTGGGTTTGAACCGCCAGTCTTCTGGTTAGCAGTCAAGTGCCTTAGGCACTGAAGAATGGGAAGAAATGGGCAGAAGTTTCAAAGACGTATAATTTGACTCCCAAGATGGCAATGTGAGTGAATGAACTGGAAGTGTTCCTAAACTGAATGATCTGGAAGTGTTCAAGAGAAAACTGGGCTACCATGCACTCTGGATATGTGATAGGGGATACAGGCAGGACCTGATGGCCTCTAGAGCCTGTTACAATCCTGACAGTTGATGCCCTTGTGAGACCCAACAACTAATCCCTGACAGATCATTCCAGTGGGATCATTGGCCCCGTTTGAGTGCCAAGCCCCAGGCCATGGTGACTCTCTGTGAGTCATGAAGCAGACGATTGTAGACTCACCGACACTTGGCCATTGATGATGACCTCCTCAGAGAAGCGCACTTTGACTGGGTTGGACTTCAATCTTGCCTTCTTTGCAGCACTAATAAATGCTGATTTGGGAGACTGGAAGGAACAGAAGACATTTTTGCTGATTATGTGTGACAAAATACAAACCTTGTGACAGTTGCTTTCCACCTTCCTCCTCGCAGATAAGTAATATTTTTGCTAAAAAGTAACATGTTTGGTGAATGCCCGATTTGAGGATGAGATGCAACTTATAGATGGAATCAAAACTCATAACCTAGTATCTTTCATTTAGCCACCAGGCCAGAACCCCAGCAGGTTCCATGTTTTTAGGGAGCACATTTCCAAGGATCTTTGAAAATGATCACTGTGAAATAAAAACTCTGCTTTTAACACAGAGCCTTGAGCATAACTGGAAAATGAGGTGCTGCCAAATCTACTGTTGGGTTTATGTGGAGTTGATAGTTAATTATCTATTTTAATGAGGTAGAGAAGACCCACTGATAGTTTTAAAATGATCGATCATCTCACTGGTACTCACATTCGGGGCATATGGACATGTGAACAGGCAAGCACATACTCTGTCTTTCTCAGCACCCGTGCTTTTGTACCCACCTTGAGTTTCATCCTCTTGTTGGTAACCTGTGAGCTTACCAGGCAGGGGGCAGAGAGGAGTCCTTGCTTTACAATTAAGAGTCTTTAAACAGAAAGAAGGGTGGAATGACTCAGTTCTTCACCAGAATGGAAAGTACCGTGTGAGAACCTGCTTGAAAGGGGGCTGTGTCCAGGGGGGATGCCCTGCTGCATGATCTTGGTAAAGTCATGTCATCTGACAGTCACCCTTGGCACATAATTATGATGAAGCCTGAGGTGGAAGACATCTAGTATGTTGCAGGCACCACTCAATTTAATTAAAAAACAATTGCATTTTCTCTTGAACCCAGTCTGGAAGTATTTCGCTTGAACCATACTTTTGGCATCTTTGTACATTAAAATGATCAAACATTGACAGTTGCATATGGTTCAAACTAATGTTTCTCATAGTACATAGTCCTAAGATCTTGAGGCTGTTACTTAAAGAATTATGGTAATTGATCTAGAATCAACACAGAGGCTCAACCTTTTGTGTAATATAATCATCTCAAGGAACAAAAGCCAATTAGGGTCACTCAGACTTTGGTTTTCAAGTTAAAAAAAAATCCCATCTCTGTCAGATGGGAGACTAATTGAGACTAATTAAAAAATTGAAATGATTGATAAACAAAACGTGGTCTATCCATACAGTGGAATATCACTGAGCCAGAAAAACGGATGATGTTCTGACACATGCCACAACTTGGATGAACACTGAAAACATTACATCACGGGGAAGCAGCTGGTCACAAAAGGCCACACACTGTATGATTCTATTCGTATGGAATGTCCAGAATTGGCAAAGTCATAGAGGCAGAAAGGAGGCCAGTGGGTGCCGGAGGTTGGAGGGAGGAAGGAATGGGGAGTGACTGCTTAATGGGCTTTGTTTTGGGGTGATGAAAACGTTCTGGCATCAGATAGTGGTGATGGTTGCACAGGTAAGTCCTGGTGGCACAGTGGCTAAAAAAGCAGTTGACTGCCAACCAAAAGGCTGGTAGTTCAAATCCACCCAGTGACTCTGAGGGAGAAAGCCCTAGTTATCTGCTCCCATAAAGATGACAGCCTTGGAAACTATCAGGCAGTTCTACTCTGTCACATTGGGTCACTATGAGTCAGAATTGACTCAATGGCAGTGGGGGGATGGTTGCACAATGTTGTGAATGAACTTAATGCTATCAAAATGCACACTTTAAAATGGTTTAAATGGTAAGTTTTACCACCATAAAAAAAAAAAAAACAAAACAAAACAACTGTGTGTGTGGGAAATGCCACAAATATGTGTGTGTGTGTGTGTGTTCCCGAGTGCAGAGTTTGGCACAGTACCACAAGAATCCTCTTATTTCCAGTTTGCCTTCACCTCTGCCCCACCGTTTGCTATAAGCAGCACCTCAGAGGACTGGAGAGATGAATAGTTTGACCCCAGGAGTGTCAATTCCTCCATTTAAGCAAGATGCATTGAGAGAACGGCTGTCCTCTTCAAAAAAAAAAAAGAAAGAAAGAAAGAAAAAAAAACCCTAAAACCTCCGAATGGCTGCTCTTCAAAAAAGAGCTTTAAAAACACTCCACTTGACTTTGAAAAGTCCTGCTGGTGAGCTGCAGCCACGTGCTGGTGGTGTCCTCATCAGTTATCTGCCCAAAGATTAGTGAACAAATCACAGTTCACGAGTTCATTTGCTTTTGATATGCCATTTTTTAACTGAAGGAAAACAGTCTTCTCCCTTCATGATTGTAAGCAGGAGATATTTACATTGGCACAATGAGGTTAGCACCAGTGAAGCAGCTGTACTAAAGCTACCAGGCACAGACACGACTAACTGAATGAGATATGTTCATGCAGCAGGACCCCTCTTTCCCATTGTTGGGGAATGAAGTGGCACACACACATCAGTGTGCCATATCCAAAACAAAGAACCAAACCCACGGCCATGAGTCGAGTCCGACACATAGGGGCCCCATGTCTATTCCTCTGTGCCTCCCAATTTTCAAATGTAATATTTTACCATATTTTTCTAAACTGTTCTAATCCTTACCTCCCTAAGAAAGTATAGTTAACAGAACTTAGTTTTACTGTCGTCATGTATAGAGGATGATTCAATAGCAGTTAACAACAAAAATAACAACAACATTTACTGTATAATCTGAGGATGCAGAGATGTTCCCAAAGGTCATGGAAGTATACAGGGTTATTCTGCCCCTTAACTAAATGGCCCCAGATGGCACAAGTTGTCAAGCTGAGGTTGCGTCTCTCTGCTTTCTGTAGCTTATTATAAGCATGCCAACTCATGCTGCTTCATTCTTCTATTTATTTACCATAGCTAATAACCAAAAATGCTTGCTGAAAGTGAGGATGACTTAAGGCACCTACTGATGAAGGTTGAAGAATACAGTCTGCAGTATGGATTATATCTCAACATAAAGAAAACA